TTTCCAATGCCTTCACCATGACCCAAGATCAATGTTGATCCGCTGTGATGCGCCGGACCTATCATTCTGGCTCCTGGCACTACATGCACCGCATTCAGGATATCCTCAACAAGAACGTGAACAATGGTGGGAAACAATCAGTGAACTCGTCCGAACACACCATGACGGTGATGCACTTTTTGTTCTTGGAGATGCCAATGCGGCCCCAGGTTGCTCTGATGGCCTCACCGTTCTGAAGGACGGTTTTGCCACATCTGCCAGCACCAGCATGTTGAAACAGTTTTTGACAGAGTTCAAGCTCTACCTGCCAGCGACCAGTGATGCCCACATAGGCACCAACACGACCTGGGTTGACTTCCAGGGAACCAGAGAACATTGCATCGACCATGTCGCGCTCCCTCAACATTGGCAAGCCAGATGCACAGGTTCACAAGTGCTACCTGACTTTGACCTAGCCACGTTATATGATGATCATCAAGTTGTTGCAGTCCAACTACAATGGTCAGCCTTGCTTCGGCGCCCTGGAGATCGACCACAAGCACGACCATCCAGAAAAGCCATGACTTATAGCCATGATCCCAGCATTGCTGACCAACTTGCTCAACTTGAAGTACTACCATGGCATGTGGATGTTGAACAGCAAGCGCAGCACATCACACAACAACTGCATGATGTCATGCACCAAACAACTTCTGCACCTGCCACAAGAAGAAAAAAGCAGTACATCACCGACCAGGCATGGAGCATGAGGCAAACAAAATGTCACCTCAAGAAGAAGATCAAGCAGATCAAACAACGATGCAAGCTTGACCTCCTCTATGGCCTGTTCACTGCATGGCGTGGCAAACATCAAGATGCGCAGGATGACAGCCAACATCGATATGAGAACATGCTCCGGTGCAAAGCACTCCTACATGCAGCGAGACTACATGCAGTCTCACGACAACTCAAAAAAGAAATCATGGAAAGCAAACAAAAAGCCCTACGTCAGAAGCTGGAAAAGTTCACGATTCACACTCCGGCAGCAGAGGTGCTCAGCCAGTTGAAAGGATTCATAGGGCCAACAAACCCGAAGAAGAACAAAAAGAAGATGCTGCCGATTGTAAGAGATGAGCAAGGTGAAGTCTGCCAACTTCCTGGTGATGCAGTAGCTGTTTGGGTGCGCTTCTTCCAACAGATGGAGGGTGGTGAACGCATGCCATACCACGCATTGCGCACTCAATGGATTGACGAATTGAGCCAGTTTCGGCGCACCATGGTAAGTCTGGACATGAACTCTTTGCCAGATCTCATTGACCTCGAGCTCTCCATGCGACGAGTGCCACGAGGAAAAGCTAAAGGACCAGACGGAGTACCAGGTGAATTGCTACATCACCAACCTGCTGGCCTTGCCCGCCTTATGTACCCCCAGTTGATCAAGATGATCGCACATGGGCAGGAGCACATAGGGTACAAGGGCGGCCAACTTCAGCCAGCCTACAAAGGCCGTGGCCCAGTTGACAGTTGCAGCTCATATCGCTCACTACTGATATCCAGTCACCTGGGCAAAGTGCTACACAGAACGATCCGCCAAAAGCAGGCGTCGTTGTACGAAAAGTTCATGCAACGGGAGCAGACTGGCGGACGCAGGAAAGTGCCAGTACAACTGGCCCTGCATCAACTCAGAGCATTCACTCGGCAGGCCAAAAGATGCAATTGCTCTGTGGCCATCATCTACCTCGATCTCACGGAGGCTTTCTACACGGTTGTGAGAGAAGCTGCGCTAGGGGGTGAACCGAGCGACGCCATCATCGCCCATGTGCTCCAGCGACTCAATTTGCCGCCAGAGGCCATGCAGGACATCTACAATCTCTTGGCAGAACCTCCTGCACTACAACAAGCTGGTTTCTCAGATGTAGACCAGAAATGTTGGCAAGCGGTGCACACGGGGACATATTTCTGGTTGGCCGAACAGAACGATGTCTCCAGGACGCGCCTGGGAACCAGACCGGGCGATAGCCTGGCCGATGTAGTCTTTGGCTATGCTTGGGGATGTGTTCTGAAGAAACTCCAACACATCATGGAGGAGCACGACATGATCACGCGTTTCGATGTGCATGATCACTTGCCCCTCTTTGCCTCCCACAATGCGGTGAATGCGACAGACACGTTTGTAGGGCCGAACTGGATGGACGATCTAGCTGTCTGTCTACAAGCAGGTCATCCACAACAACTCATCCACAATGCCAGTTTCGTCGCAGGAGCCTTATTGGATTTGTGCGCATTTCACTGCCTCAAGCCCAACTTGGCCAAAGGGAAGACGGAAATCCAGCTCACGTTGCGTGGGCCTGGATCGCGCAAGCAGCGCATACAACAATTTGGCCCCAATGCAGCAGGAACCATACCAGTGGTATGCGAGAATGGAGTGCGCAACATCCAGCTGGTTCAATGCTATCGCCACCTTGGAGGAGCGATGCACCACACAGCTGATCAGGCGCGTGAGATCCACCAGCGTGCCGCTGTGGCCCATGCAGCACTGAACCAACACAGACGCCTGCTGTACCAAAACAAGGCCCTTGACCTTGAGAAACGCAAAGAACTGCTCGACATGCTTGTGATGAGCAAGATGCTGTACGGTGCCGATTCGTGGGTGGCCAATGACAAACGCACGCTCAAGAGCTTTGGCGCCAAGGTCATCAACATCTACAAAAGATTGCTCAAACTGGCGCATGACCAACCCATTTTAGAGGAGGAGATTTTGGTGAGAACAGCATTGCCGAGCCCGCAAGAGCTTCTTCGCCGCAGCCGTCTACGTTATTTTGCCACATTGGTCACCATGGACATGCCACATGTTTGGGGATTGCTTGCGCAAGATCAACAATGGATGGATTTGCTGGAGGGTGACATGATCTGGATGTGGGAGCAGCTGAAAAGCACCACAAAGCTGCCTGATCCTCGGCAGTCCTATGGGCATTGGCTCAATCTCATTCAAAGAAGTCCAAAATTTTGGAAGAGGCTTGTGAGAAGAGCCAGCGAGCACTGCATCTTACAACGCTGCCGTGTTTTCCGTGCCCGAGAATTTCATCGACAAGCGTTAGAGAGGCTGTGGCAGATCATTCCAACAGCAGTGGCCAGACCTTTTCGAATCCAGCTTATGGATCAGGAGGCTTTTGGCTGTATGGGGTGTGGCAAGCGATGCAAAAGTCGAGCAGGCGAGTCAGTACACATGTACAAGGTGCATGGCTTGGCATCGAACTTGAGATTGCTGGCCGACCAGCCCACTTGCTCGGCCTGCCTGCGCTACTTCCACACAATGCAGAAACTGCAAGCACACCTGTACTATAGCAGGAGATGCCGTGAAGTCCTCCAAGACCAAAGCCTGGTGTGCAACAGAGTACCAGGCGCTGGCTCCACTGAAGATCTGGCACGTGTTGCGCACCATGACCGACAACTGCCACCGCTTCGAGGAGAAGGACCACTTCCTGCACCTGTTCCTCACCGTGTTTTCTTGGACTTCGATGAGGGAGTTTTTGACTTCATTGTGGAGGAAATGATTCAGAATAATGACATGGAGTTGCTAGAGCGCAATATCCGGCAACGGGTAGCCACCCTAGCTATCACATGGACAAGATTTTGCGCCACTATTAAGCACTTCATGGACAACTTCTCTGAGGATGACGCGCATGCATTTCAGGTGGACTTTCAGCAGGCCACACGTGTTCTGCACGAACTGATCCAGCCTTCAACATGGAGCTTTCTGAGCGATGCGCGCCGGTGCGATGAGAGCCTGCCGGCACTGGAGCACCTTGAGGAGGAGTGCGCGCTCACCAGACAGCACATTGAAGTCATGGACATCGTCAAGGTCCCCAGACTGATCGGCAAACACCGCATCGTCCTTCACGCGTATGCAGGAAGACGCCGTATTGGCGACATCCAATACTACATGGAGCTCTTTGCCAAGAAGCAGACCGACTTCACCCTCCACGTGATTTCACTCGATGTGGTGATCAATCGTGTTTGGGGAGATGTTTCAAATCCAGCCACGTGCGCGTATTGGATTGATGCAATCAGGCGCCAATGGGTGACTGCCTTCATCGGCGGTCCTCCCTGCGAAACGTGGTCTAGAGCTCGAGGCAAGACCACTACGTATGTGGACAAGGACGGCATCGAAAACACATGCAAGGGGCCCCGTATCATCCGATCCCGGGATCAACCCTGGGGATTTGACTCGGCCTCCATCAAGGAACTACGCCAATTGTGTGTGGGCAACGGCTTGCTCTTTTTCGCCATCATCGCCATTTTGGAGCTCTCCGCGACGGACGGCTACGGGCTGCTGGAACATCCTGCAGAACCTGAACAAGATCCCCTGGCAGCGTCGATTTGGCGCCTTGAGGTGATGCAGACCTTCCTCGCGATGAGCCATGTTCGATTAGAGCGCGTCGCACAAGGTCTTCTCGGATCAATGAGTCCGAAACCGACGCACCTTTTGGCATTAAACTTGCCACAATTGATGCACCATCTCCATCAGGGTCGTGTTCGAAAAGAACTGCCCAGAGCAACGGCCATAGGCCGGGATAGCCATGGAGCATGGAAGACAGCTCCACTGAAGGAGTATGCACCTGCCTTCTGTAGGAGTGTAGCTAATTCACTGATGGAGTCTTTTTCTGGCGATACAGCAGGCCCATCAGTGGCAGATCCTCCCGAGGACTTCCTCGAGCGCTGCCGTTTGCTGGAGGCAACGGAGTACAGTGAGGCGCTGGGGCAGGACTATGCGGGGTGACTTAGATTTTCTTTTGAATTCATTCAGCAGTTGACATAGGCCGCAGCAGCAGAACGCTTCCTTGAGCCTCACAGCAAAATATATACATGAAGTATCTTATGTATATAAGGTGCATGCAATGTGTATATGTATATATCGTATATAACGATATATAATGTATGTATATGAATTGTATATCCGTATTGTATGCATGGAGAGACATGAATAAACCATAGCATCTTGGTCACATCCCCATCCTGGCCTTGGCGGGTGCTCGAACACGCACCAAGGATGGATAGGAAGAGAATTGGCGTTGACATGCCTTTGCCAAAAGGCAAATCTTGTTGGCCTCGAAGGGTGACATGTTCCTTCGACATGTGACCTCACCTGAAACATTAAAAAAAACAGAAAATGAAGCCTCGGCGACTTTCCATTCAGATACAACCTAGGGCATTTCCGCCACTTGGTTGTCTCAAACAGAGCCAAATGTTTATCAGATCTCATCAGTATCAAGCGCCTGCAAAGATTCTCCCTTTCCAAGAAGTCGATCAAGACCAGCCCCGTTCGGGAGCCAATCGCGGTCCAACATGTCGTTGCCTCCAACTGAGGTCATGGTTCAAGATGGTCAAACATTTTCAGCTTAGAATGCACAAAATAAGATGTGTACCTAGATGATCCTAGATGTGACTAATAGAATCTAACTTGATCTAATTTCATCTAATCTAATTCATCTACATGTATCTACGGTATATACACATTGTGATCTTGAGGCCAACTTTGCTCCGGAACACCTGTAGGTTTCAAATGCCACACAATCCGATTTGCAGAACATCGCCAAATTTCATAAGTCATAAATAGTTCGAACGTTTCAGAAAGATGCCTTCAAATGGGTGTGGTCGAAATTCCCAACTCTCAAAACGGATCTTTTCTTAGGATCAAAAGTGACACATTGTGTGTGTGTTCATTGGTGCCCAGTACCCCCATATGGATCCGCAAAACAGCCCTGGATCAAACTCCGTTGATTCCCGATTGAAATGACTAAACTAAACCCGAGGTTGATTCATCCTGGGTTACCCTCTGGTAATTTAACAACATAGCTATTGAAAATTGCCATTTATAGTGGATTTACCCATGAAAAATAGTGATTTTCCATAGTTATGTAAACGTTTACCAGAGGATATCAAAATGGGGAACAATCAGAATCAATCCTGGGATTTTAGGGTACCCAATCATAATCGACAACATGAGACAAGGAACTGCTTGCAGCTTCTTGTGCGAGCCCCATGGCAACTTTGATAACCTCTCAGGGGCAGATTTCATCCAGCAAAAAGGTGATGAAACACCCAGCACAATGATCACAATTGGACAACGCTGAGGAAACCTTTTTCTTTCTTGAAACATCTGGAGGTATCATAAAATTGGGTGTACTCCAGATCCAAAATTAGACCATTTTGGTATTGAAACCCATGGTTTTGGGGATCCCCCCTTTTAAGAACATCCCCATCTGGATTTGCAGGAGAAACAAACACATCTAAACATATCTAAATTCTGTCGTCTCAAGATTTCACTCGCGCAGTGTGGCACCCACCTGCAGCGCAACACCATACTCCTGCGAAACTTGGGAACAAAAGAATTCTGCATGTATCAATCAATCTTCTGGGTAAATTATAACGACCTCACTGTCCTCCCTCACTGGAAATCATGGTTAGTAAGGGGAATCATCCCCAAATGGCCTTAATTCAGGTTAGTGAAATATTAATAAATATTATATTTTACCCAGAATCTTCCTGAATCTAATCTTCCAGTGACTATCTTCATCCGATCTCATCTTCTCAGATTTCTCAGTCAGCGTCTCCTCGGAGGTTCTTGCAACGGCCATTGGCCCACGCCATCCGCCAACGGCGCGGCACTGGGGATCAAGCTCCATGTCCTCAGCTGGGGAAGGAGGGGATGACATCCTATCAACAATAGCATCATCAAAGTAACAAGAGTATTGGATAGTATTCAATAGTGTTCAAAAATATTCAATCGCATTCAATATTCAATAAAATTCAATAATATTCAATAGTAGCAACACAAATAAACTACAGTATATATTCATCATCCCAATGATTAAAAACATCAACAGTAACAATATGAAGAACGTGTTATTTCATAGTCATAATACCAATGGTAGACATGACAAAAATAATGGTAAGGCTCGTAGTAATACTAGTGTAACATGTATTGCTAGCAACCAATGACAGTAGTTCTAGTAATAATAATGATAAATAATAATCATGATGTTAATAATAATAATCAATACTAGTTGAAAGTGATTACTACAAACCATGCTCCGTTTCCATGCTACATTTTGGTAATCTAAGCAGAAACTATGCCTACAGTATCTCTTGCCGTGACTGCAAATCACCATCATGCCAAGTTGCAGCATTCACAGCTTCCGAACCCCTGAGCGAATATGTTCATGGTCCCAAGCTTGAATGCTCCGGTGATCTTTCAACACTCTGAGGAACAGGCACGACATCGCTTTCGATTCCCTGGCCAGCTGTTTCAGTGACTAAGTGATACTAGTCGTGAATGCTTTGGGATGCTGGATGTTTCGGATGATATCCAGCATCAACATCACGTTTTTCATCCATGTGTACGTTTGACTCAAACCACATCATGGCCCACCCACCAAACGCACACACAACGGGATCCAATTACCGCATCGGTGGAGATCGGTGGAACCATCTTAGGATCATCCCATCACCGACTTCGGTTAGTCTTCAGTCTTCATTAAAATTGGGGGGTTATCCCTAAAAGTGGCTAACCAAGCACGATGCCAAATGACCAAATTTCACCTGGTTTGAAAATCATTTCCCCCATCAAAAAGGGCCATTTCAGTTCGGGATGTTCTTCAATTTTTGAGACAACCCTCAGTGTGTATGGCCAAACGATCCTATATCAACCAACTCTCATCTCGGAAATGTCATAAATATGCAGGGCTTCACTTAACTCTCCCATCCCTGATTGTTGAAACCCGTTTTGACCCGGGGTTTCAACATGTTCGTTTGACGGTGCCGGAAGTCAACTGAACCGTACGTTTGAACCGTGCCGGAAGTCAACTTAAGTTCAGAAGGGGGGGTGGGGGCATTTGATCCCTTATGAAGAGAAGTGGAAGTCAACAAACCATTCAACATATTTGTATATATTTGTTATATTTGTTCAGAGAGGGTGGGGGATTTGATCCCTTATGAAGATTAGATTCCCCTGCTAGAAAGCGTCCACGTAAAAATATGGATGTCTCAGCCGGATATCAGGATTGTTTGAAAGCAGGCTACAGTCCTTACTATTCCTTACTTGTGTCGCCAGAGAGTAGCGTGTTTGGAGGGTGTAGATCATCTTTAATCATGTTTGATTTATATGGTATACATATATATATGTATATATATATATACAGAAGGAGAGATCTTGTGGGTTATGGTCCGTTATGGTCGACGCCATGGACTCCCCGGGTCCTTCTTCTCCTGCAGTGGTGAGGAAAGGTACGCAGATTCGGCGCGGCCATCAAGGACCACCCGACCGGTCTTGAAGCGTTGGTCCCTGGCATCTCTCACCTCACCCGGCGTTGCGACATGGCCATGGAGTGGTTTAGGGTGGGAAAATCATGGAAAATCCAAGGTCGAAACTTTCGAAACCCATGAGTTTTTATACCCCCAAGCCATAAGGGGTTTCCTGTGATCCATCATCCTCTGAGAAAGTTGGGGTCTTCGTCAAGATGTAGTGAGTATGCTTGAACATGCTTGAAGAACTATGTTTGAAATTCTCACTGGGCGGACAGGATTGTGCAGACAAGTGACGTTTGAAACAATGTCATTCACAGACATGCTATTCGAGTCAAGGAGGTTCTGAAGCTTGCCCCGGTCCATGAAAGTCCCTGTGCAGCCATCTCCAACAAACTTGTGCCGCTTGTGCTGACAAGATCTGACTTCCAGGCCTACGAATTCTTGCAGGGGAATGGTCTCCTTCAATGAATTGCAGGCTAAACATCAGTCCATCTTTGCAAGTCGCAAATCGCACAAGTTTCCAAACATCAAACTGAAGCAGAATGATGAGGTCCTTGTCCGAGTGCAGTCGGGGCAAAAGATGCGCAGCCACTTTTTGCACATGCCTTTTCTGAATGGATCATGGGGATTCACCTCCACCGGGGTTGAATCCCCATGATGTGGAAACTCATGAAACAGCTTGTCAACTCGGAACCGGTTTTCAAATACGGACCGATATGGCATCTTAATGTGCAATACGCCCATGTATGTAAGTCTATATATGCTTAGGCAATCTATCACCCACATACACACGTGTGTATATATATATATATATACATGCACACATACACAAACACACACACACATGAATGAATATATATAATATAATATAATACAATATAATATAATATAACATAATATATATAATATTATATACATACTAACACATCCATATGCATGACATGTAAATATATACGTTGATACACTCATGCACACCCACAAATACACACGCACACACTAACTATGCATATATATATAATTATATATAAATATATAATTATATATATAATTATATATATATATATGCAATGGCATATCCGCCGACCCCGGCAGAAGCCAGGAGGAGCGGGCCAGGGAATAGTACAGTTCATTTTAAAAATTACAGATTATGTGACTCAGATAATTCATCAGTTTAGTAACTCAGATACAGCCGCGTGACGTATCTCCAGTGCACAGGTCACGCACCAAGTCCAGCATCTCCGCTGCCGTCAGCACGGTGTTGAAGACCGTCCTCTGGGCAGGGCGTCTCAGGACCTCGGCAAAGTTGAAGATTTCTCTCGCTCGTTTTACAGTAGTTGACTGGATAGTTGGGAAACTCTGGTTACTTTACTTAAATATAATTTAATAGTTTGTAAGGTTTTCGAACAGTACTGTAATCAAGTAATTGATAGTTGGTAAGCTTTAGTTCAGAGTTTTTCACATAATCTAGGTTTTCAAGAAGTAGACAAATTGTCGCTAGGGGGCCAAAAAAACAGCGGTTCAGCAGCACCCTGAGAGCAGGACATATTTAAAATAGATGGCCTGGGCACGTCGCGTGAACATGGGTTCTAAACCTTCAATTTGCACCAGTTTTCATATGGCATATCGTGAGGCAATGGAATGCAATGGGAAAACCCACATGCGGGCGACTTCGGTCAGATGCTGACACCACTCCTCACTGAAATGCTGAGCTGGCTGCCCGCAGCTGTATCCTGAGATTGTGCCATGGCACATGTCACAACTGGAGCTGTGACCTGCCTTCAAGGCACAATGGATCCCTATGAAAGCGACTCAAATGGAGCCGACAAGGCTCTCTTGGATAAGCTCGTTATCTGCGAGGGCTTCGTCATTCTTCACAAATGCCTGGCAGTGGAACGACCGATGCAGTGCCATTGCTGAAACACGCAGAAACATCACAAGCACATGATAAAATGTGACGACTACCAGATCTACGAGTGCTTTATCTCAAGAAACAACAGGATGCACGATGATATACTAACATTAAGGTATATAACAAGTATATGACACACACACATATATATATATATATATAGATATGATATAAATACATGAATATATAATATATATATATATATTCAATATAGACAAATGAATCAAACATCCACCAGCTGAAAGCCAACTTCCACCGCCTCCCGGAGCAGCAAATACTCGACTTTGTCCAAGCGTGCGGTGTCGTTGACGTCGCTGGCATAGAACATGGCCTGGGAGCCCAGGGGATCCAGAGCCAGGCGTCCAGTATCGTCCAGTGGTGATGTGTGGACTTTTTCTAAAGGGAAAACATGAGGATAATAGGGATATAATAGGGATATAACTTGGGATTTCATCAACAGACATGCTATGAAATACTATGAAATACTGCGAAATAGGACATAGTGGAGCGGTTTTGAGGGAACACCTGCAGGAAAATGGGGTCTTTTTCCTCCAAATATATATAGGCATAGGGATTCCTTGTGTTTTTTGACAACCACACATGGATCAGTGATGATTTGTGTAAAGTGTAAGGGAAAGCCATAGAACATCTGCAGGAACACCTTTTCTTTCACCTCCAAGTAGAGGCTTTCCTGAGAAAAAAAACTGGCTGCAGATTCCCTGAGTGGTCAAAAAACAAGGGACTTAGCGCAAGCTGGTAGAACTGGCCCATGGAATTTAACTGCCAACTACTTAGCATAACCCTACATACATACATACATACACACATATATATACATACATACATATCATATGTCTATAGGTATATTTGTACATATGCACATACAATCGCACGCACAATTATTATAGATGCTATGAATTGCTATGACATTATCTTACACATACGCACATCTCTCTCTCTCTCTCTCCCCCCTCCATCGCCATCTGTTCAAGTTCAGCTACAGTAGTTGAGATTAGTTGGGACACTTCAAGGCCCTTGCGGGAAAAGGGAACATTTCCACAAAACATACATACCATTACATACCTACAACATCCTACAACCATCAATCAACAGGGGTCAGCTATGGTCACTGTTATCATTGTTCACATCCAAGTTGCTCTGGCAGCAACTCGGGTGAAGCCCCAGAGTTGTGCAGCTGCTGCAACAAAGGTCTCTTCTGCTAACATCTGATCCTATCATGGCAACCTTGGATAGATCTGGATAGATCTGCATAGCTAGACCCTGCTTGATTTTTTTTTTGGGGGCTGTGTTGACCATCAAAAAGTTACAACATCGGCTAAAATGGGACATCTCCAGTTTACACAGGCTGATCTGGGTTGACACTATGCACATGAAAAAGTTGAGTGAGACATGGAGACCGGGTTTAGGGACAATCTCACAATCTCCCGTTTCATTTTGCCAATTTTTCCGTCCTTCGACTGGTTTGCAGCCCAGAGGATGCCTTAGTCGATCATAGAAAGCGCTGTGAGTTGCTGGTGAAGGACATCTTTAAAGCATGGCTTCTTGGCTTGAAGTGACCATCTTTGCCAAGAAACGATCGAACTCCATGTCTGATTCAATTTGTCGATGCTGCCGCTCCGCCGTCACTCCTCAGCCAGTTATGAGTACAAACCATGCAAGCTAGGTGTCCATGTGAATCAGGAACACTGAGCCACATGGGCTTGTCCCAACCTGTTGGAAGCAGCGTGTTATGATCCTTAAAGTGACCTTTCCAAGTCTTTCCGTTGATCTTAGTGGACATTTATATCATTTTTGTCATTTTTATATCATTTTTATATCATTTATGCTTCAACCCTGCTTTTTTCCATAGGACATTCAAATTTTCGATGGCATTGAGGTCTCCACGCAGTTTGCTCAGCACCTCTTCGGGCCCAAATTTGCGGCTGATCCGATTGCTGACCACTTCCTGGCACCAATGGACACCTGTCCATAAATGGGGTAACTACTGGTAAAAACGGTGTAAAACATGATAAAACCAATTTTTGTTTGACTGATTTTGGATGGTCTGATGTTGGTTTGCAAGATGTTTTTCCCGACGTATCGTCTGTTCGAGCATGGGGTGTGCCCCTTTTTTTGGACAAAGACACATGGCAAGGCAAGTGAAGAAATTTCTGGCCTGCACAGGACGAAAGGGCTCCTCAAAACAGGGCGCACAAGAGTTCAATGAGCCAAGATGCACCAACAGTTGATTTCAATTGGATTTACAGAAATTAATGAGATTTAATGAGCATCCAAACACCATTGGTCCAAGGCTCAAGTGCGTTGCTAGGGCCTGGCAAACCCAAGTTGGCCATGCTCGAGCACCTTTAAAAAGTCACTGTTGCGGCTGCCTGGCACATCTCCAGTCGTCATCCATGACTTGGATGATTTGGTGCCCATTGATACCCGCATTTCAAGAAGCAAACCATTTGATGTGTACATTGCTATGGTGGAAAGCAAACCTTGCATCATCTTGATGATCTTGGACTCTAACAGCAACTGGAAATACGAGCCTCAGCCCCTGGTGACAGCTGCGGCAGCTACAGCTTTCTGTGGCTTTGCTTGGCAAAGCCAATAGCTCAAGGCAGAAATTGACAACCGAGTGGGAGCAGTTTTCCAACCCCAACCCGTACTGGGTGTAGCTGGGCAAGGTGGTGGGCTGAAGTAAACTTTCCGTGGGGATATAGCTAAGGAAGTTAATAACTGCACGAACCTTTAGGCAGAAGGTGCTCAGTTTGCTGAGTCCTACGAGGAAGTTCTTTCAGACTCGAGTGTTTCTAGCACTGTTGGGCAGGTTTTCGCTTTGATGGACCATTTGGTGAGGAAATGTCGTGCCCAAATCATTCTCGTATGTTTTTGCTTCATTGATTCTGGTAGCTGAGTTGGTCTGAGCCCAAAGCTATGGGAACCAGGGAAATGTGGTGGCAGCAGGCGGCATGGGTCTAGATCCTGGCACTCTGCTGTTCACAGTGGCCATCAGTGGCCGGAGAATGGATGTTGAGATGTTGATCCCATATTCCAGTCGTTCCACACTGTAGCGACCCATCCCCATGTGAATGTGGCCCCATCGCTGAGGTGTTGGCTCCAGATTCCGTCAGAAGTTTTGATGCCGTCAACGGCCTGCGTTGCGAACCAACGAATCCCAGAGATAGTGCGAACGCCTCTGGTGGCTTTGTTGCGAACGTTGCATATTCCGGTGCTTCTTGCGAATTTCTTCCCGTTCCAACAAGCCACTTCTCAGATCACTTCGGTATCTTCACTGTTTCGCTTCTATCTGCCGTGTGAATTTAGTCTCCAGTCCTTGACGTGCGTTTCAAATCTTTCATTGACACCTGACCTTTGACTTTTCGGTTGCCTAAGCCCCTGCCTATCCTCTCCTACCCATTCTCCTTTTTCCATCTACTGCTTTTAATGACTAAGCCTAAGCGAAGCAATATCTAGAACCATAGACACAGCGGCTGGTCAACCTGCCCCACGACCACAGAACTTTGCTGTTGCCACATCCATTGAGTGGCCAAAGGTCTGCAGTTGAACCCTCCGCCGTGTACTCCTGAAGTGCAATTTGTCATGATTATAACACCTGCGAACAGGTCCAACTTTGGAGTTTGCACACTGATGTCCATACGCTGCATCATGTCATATATAGATTATATAAAGGTGTTTGTTGCGTCTCGACTTTTGAAACAGCTGCAGATTCACAGCTCAACGCCGAAGGTTCACATAGAGGCCCAAGAGTCCTATAATGATACCGCACCTCGGTCACTAGATTCGGAGGCATATGGAGGTACAGTAAACATCATTGAATCATGGTTTCCTGCAAGAATTTCAATCAATGTACTATTGAGGTATGTGTCCTTGGTGAAGGGTGGAGCGAAATACCTTCAATGTAAGTGTGAGCCGTCTATAACTATGGAATCAAATTCAATAAAATTCAATAAAACAATAGATAATTATGAAATATTATGAATGTATATATTTGTTGTACCGGTGCGTACGTTAGGTACAATATGACATCAGGATATCCTTGGAGCACAAGTCAGTTCAACCGATCTCTCTCCCTGGTCGCCCTGGTCACATCAAAATCTGGCCGGTAGTTATTGATGTATCTCTTGTCAACGGCTGATATTGCAAAAACTAATAGTTATTGATCTGCCTTTAGCTCAGGCCTTGCCGAAACCTTGCCCATTCAATATGATTGAATATGGCTGGGAAAGCAGAAAGACTTGAAGAGTAGTGCCGCACTTTTTGGGCAACAATGTGTCACTTCGGGCCAGAATTCCATTGCACATCTTCTGTCCTCTGTTCTTGACTTGCTTACTTGCTTCTATAATATTCTTTTCCTTGCTGTACCCTTACTTTTCTTGCATGATATGTATATATATATATATGCTAACCCCCCCCCTGATACCTACTTTTTACTGTTAATTCCTTCCTTTCTTCGTAACTACATCTGTGCTGGCAGCAAGTCATTTGCAAGAACCATGTGGGTTACATGCTTGAGGGAGCGTGGGTTCAAAAGGATGAAGCTATGAAGGCTTTGCACAAAGTGCTGCGTTACAAGTTCTCACTTGGGCAAACTACAGCAAGTACTTTGCACGAATCACGGTTACATGCTTGAGGGAGGGTGGGCTCAAAAGGATGAAGCTATGAAGGCTTTGCACAAAGTGCTGCGTTACAAGTTCTCACTTGGGCAAACTACAGCAAGTACTTTGCACGAATCACGGTTACATGCTTGAGGGAGGGTGGGTTCAGCTATGAAGGCTTTGCACAAAGTGCTGCGTTACAAGTTCTCACTTGGGCAAACTACAGCAAGTACTTTGCACGAATCACGGTTACATGCTTGAGGGAGGGTGGGTTCAAAAGGATGAAGCTATGAAGGCTTTGCACAAAGTGCTCGTTACAAGTTCTCACTTGGGCAAACTACAGCAAGTACTTTGCACGAACCACGTGGTTCACGTGCTTGACACTTTAGGAAGGGTGGATTCAAAAGGATGAAGCTGTTGAGGCATAACATTATATTGAGGTAAAGAGTGGCACTTGCCTACGGTTCGACGAAGACCCCTGCAACTGCAGTAGCTCCCACGATATAGCGAAGAGAAGAAGCATCCTTTTTTTGGCCATCGCACGCTCGCACTCGGTAATCTACCCCAGATACCATTGTACAAGTGCGCCTGTGCATGTCCACAGGTCTTTTCCTCGATTCCAGTACTCGTACTGGCCCGATCTCAATTGCATGCAAAGCATGCGAGCCCCGACGCATGCCTGCTGGTTCAAGGTCACGCGTTCTTTTAAAAAACGCCAGCATCGGTCGACGATCTGCGTACCGGACTTCACCTGCATGACTTTGCCGCCAGGAAGACGATGCTTTTGGACCTCGACATACTTCGGAGCCACCCATCGAAATTTGTTGCCCACCTTTACTCGTGTCTTCTTGTGTACGACACGGTCGTGTAACATACCTGGGACTTGTGCCCGGTAACTCTTCGCAGAATCTGTGTGTAGAATCACATTTTTTCCCTCCAGCCATTTTTTGGCAATTGGCTTCCACTCGACTTTGCGCACTGCTCCCGGGCCCGGAGCGCGCAGTGCTGCCAGCGGAGGTTTCAGGCGGTGCAGCACAAGCGTACCCGGCTTGCCTCGCTGCACTATGCCACACCACTGCTCCCATTGGACTTGCCCTTGAACAATCTTTTTGGCAAACGTGGCTTCGTCAGCTTCCACATCTGCCCATTCATGTCCTCGTCCAAAGCAAATCTCCTTCTCCTTTTCCAGGACGTAAGCTTCACGTAGTGTATACAGCCTCTTCTGCATGTCTTCAATGGCTTTGTGATTCACATACATAAGGCGGTGGATGGCTGCATGTGGCACACGGTTCAGCAAGAGCAGCAGCAAGGCTGCCTGCGTTGAAAGTGGAGTATGTGACTTGCCCCAATGGTCCAAGGATGGGCATAGTGAGGACTGATATATGCCTGACAGTTTTTGGCATTGCACCTATGTTTCGGTGGGCCGCCCTGTCTCTGAGGAGCCAACTTCCCCAGGGTTCCATGCTGACAGCGAGGACAAACGGACCCTTCCAAACGAGGTAGCAAACCATCTTTTCGCAACAGCTCCACTAACGCACGGGGCGAGCATGTCAAGAGCTCTGGCAATGACCTTTTCCATGAGTCTCGATCCCCCCGCACCTGCTTCACAGCTTCAGGATCACGAACATAAGGAACTCGTTGCCAATTCGCCTTCTTCTTTGGCTTGAGGTAAGCAGGCCGTTTCAAAACTTGCCGTGTCTTGCCCTTCTTCGCAATGATGGGGTTGAAGCGCGGCGCCATACTCTCTACTATGGGAATGCTTGTTTCTCTAAGATCCAAAAGCTTCTGGTAGAAAACATAACAATGCTGATCGGTTACAAGTATGCGATGACCACATTGGACCAGTGAAGTGACACAAGCTCCTTCATATGTTTATATTACCCGTCGAATGCTGCCAACTGCTGGGATGGCATGATTGTTGCAAGACAAGCACGTACACACGTTCTATGTTATCTTGCTTATGTCTTCCCAACAGCAACACGCACAGCTTCTTTTTATCGCCCGCTACTGTGAGCAGATGTCGCTCCCCATATTGTACTATATGTACATGCCACACGACGGCATTCCCGGCTCACTCATGGAGGAAGATTGCAGCCTCTGTGTCCGCCTCGAAGTCATCTCCATCTGGACCAGTAGATTCTTGCCACTCTTCTACCGCATCCATCTCAGCAGCCTGGGCCAAGGCTTCCAAGTCGGCTGATGAACCATCTGCAGGAGCCTCCTCTGGTCGACTTTTGGTTCTCAGACGCTTGGCAGGTGGATAGCGGAACTGCCCAATCCGATGGCAGCGCCAGGCCGGATTTGGAATGATGACTGGCGGAGGTGGCAGAACAGTTTCTTCTTCCTGAGACGATTCTCCTTCTGGCCTGTCAGAGAGACGGACTGACTGTGCAAGGCGGGCGCGCCACAGCTCGGCTTCGATCTTCTCGTTGGCATCTTTGATGTAGACTTCCGGTCGTCCGGCGGCAAACTTTTCCATGCCCAGAGAGATTGTGCGGACCTCTTGCTGGGTTTCCTGTTCCCACTGAGGGCCATACTCCACGATACCGAGCTTGTACTTGGAATAGAGCGGCTTGTCCTTTTCGGAGAGGAGGTCTTTGTGCAGCTCATCCACCTGGATTCGATGTACTGGGGCCTCTGGATCCTGATTGGGAAGCCGAAGGTAGACAGCATGTTGCCCCACAAGCAAAACCACGGAGCGTTTCAAGCAAGCGAGGACGTCAGCCTGCTTGTCCCCTGCAAAAAGACGTCTGGTCATCTTCATGAACTCCTCGCCCGTGATGAAGATGCGTGAGTCATCTAATGGCTCATCCTCACGGTCCAAGTCATTCGACGCATAAGCTCTCATGCAATTCCTCGTGAGCTTTGCGTCATTGTAGCGACCCGACGTAGTTTGCTCTTCTTCCACAGTCAAGAAGGACTTGAGGTCGGCCATGGAGACATTCTCACGGTTGGGGTCGTCCAGGAAGATGCCCTCGTACACATTGGCCACTTGATGCCGAAAGTTATCAAGTGACTTGGCTCTTCTCCATCCTGGC